TAATTACTAACTAGTTATATTCTCTGTTTTGGCTTCTAATTTGCTGGTGTCCTCAGCTTGTAGTGGTCAGTGTTTTACCCTGGGTTTTCTTGATGGAAATACAGTTCATTATCCACTCAACTAGGGTCTCTCCCATTAAAACTTGAATCGACTATTTGAAGTTTTTTAAAGAGGGATAAAGGTTTTACTCATTTCTATGTTAGGCTGACTGAGTGTATAATCAGTTAGATGGATATAAAAGGTTTTTTGTTTTCTTGTATGTAGTTCATGTCCTATTGTTTTAGTATTATTCAATTATAACATATGGTCTTCTCAGACATGATGGGCTGTTACACATAGATTGATTACCGACTCTTGTGTGTCTATTATATTCCTAAATTCTAGCTGTTGTTTATCGATTAGTTTCTCCAATGTATTGGAATCCACATTCACAGAGTATGTTGTAAATGGTGTTTTTTTTTTTTCTTCAGTGGGTCTTTAGGTGGTTTGGTGTGTACTAACTGTAATTATATTGTACTGTCTTTATGTTGTTCATAAATCCTCTGTGCTTTAGGAATATACCTATATGTCTGTAATTTTATTCTAGTTTGTTAATGGGGTTTATCTTTATTTTCCTCTTCCTAAAGTGTCTTGGAAATTTATTGTTAAGGAAGATTTTACTTACGTTTTTCTTCCTTCTTCTTAGTTGGTATTACAAATCTTGTTCATTTTGGAAGCTGGGCAGTATATGATGCCTGTCTTTACATTTTTGAAGTGTTTTGATTTATGGTTGAGGTATTTACCTGTATCTGTGTGTTTCTTGTAAATTATTGTGTTATATAGGTTATATGGCTTGGTAACCATCACATCAAGGAACAGAAGTTTGCTATCTTCTTCTATTTCCATTGTGAATTGTATCACTGAATATTACTTGATCAGGTGTTTAATGAATTCTTGAATCTTGTCTGTAGTGTTTGGCCATATTAAAAATGTATTCAAAACATATATTAGCTAAATCTTGATGTGTAGAGCAGCAGTTTTGGGGATGCTAACTTCAAATGTTCTATATAGAAGTTACTCAGCATTAGTGATATGGGTAAGCCCATTGCTAGGCTTATTGTTGTTAGTATTTATCTTCATGCTAGAAGTAGTTTGTGTTAATATAAAAGGTTGTGAGTTCTGTTATTGTATATATTGTCAGTTGGGTGAATTTGTTAAGAGTTCTATTATTTTCAAACTGTTGGTGAAGTATCAGTAATATTTAAGGGGTTAGTATGTTAGTGAAGAGGTTGGATACATTGAAGCTGATAATTACATCTTGTATGGTTACAGTGGTTGTTTTAACAGCCAAAAGTGAGTTGAATTCTTAACTTGTGAGGATGCTTTACCTGTTAATTGTGATATTATACATACCAGATACATAGCTAAATACATGACATGAGGAATCTCTGCAGTTAAATATAGGAAAGTGAGGGTAGCTTTGTTTGTGAAATTTAGGTAAACTATAGGTGGTGGGGTGGTGCTGTTGCATACTGTGAATTGTTCAACTGTTTATGTTCCAGGTTCTTTCTGATTTTTCTTAAGTAGACCATTGATTAATATCTTCTCTGACTCAGTGGATGTGTTAGACTACCTTCATGTAGTGGCCATTTTCAACTAGAATCTGGATAACACACCAGACTTCCAAGCAAGATGGTGGAGGATCAAATCCAGCCACTAACAATACAGAAATGGTCCTTCTCAGAACTTCTATAGAGATGGCAACAGATTAGCCACCAACACACAGGATAAAACTAGTTAGTAATTAGTACCTACACATAAAAAAGTTGTTAATTAATAATTACACTTTAGTGATCATATAGGCTGCTAACCATAATAAAAACTGAGTTCCAATCACCACACTCTTACCATAAGTACTTGAAAGAGAAAAAACTTTTCTGTTGTACTGGGAGATAATGATTTTTTTCATTATATGGAAAAGTTTTCATACAAGAGCAACCAGAAAAATATAAAATACATTATTTCCTTAATTTACAGGTTTTTCTCTGTTAGAATATTATTTCACAATATTAACTTGTATCCATTTTCCTCACATTATATCAAAACATCCCTCAAAAAAAAATTATCCATCTTACTAGTCAATAAATCATATGTTATTATCAATTCTCCAAACTTGGCGAACAAAACTGTTCAAGAAAAGTACAAAACAGAACAGTACACAAATAATTTTATTCTAACAAGTTGTCTTAATTCTTACCTGTTTCTTGCTAATTAATATTTGTATTGAAATATATTACTAATACACTACAAAATAAACATATATCAAGATGTAAACATTAGTAGATTAAACTTTACATGATCATCACAAACATTTATGTGAAAATTAATATTATAAAGGTAAAGGGATACAAAAAGAATAAAATATTAACTTTCTTTACCAAATCATGTAACTTATCAAAGTTACCTGACAAATACAATTATATTGTTTAAAAGACATTCTCAACATCTAATCTACTAACCTGCCTTGTAAGGGAACCACGTGGACTTGCAGAGCTTGAGCTTGACAGGCTTGGGGAGTAAGAATGACCTACTGTGTACTAGCAGGCAAAAAAAAAAAAGTTACACAACAAACTCCAAAGTCAGCAACACAATGGAAGATTAAACTAATTTAAGGAAAGGGAAACATATTTTTTAGTGTATAAGTTGAAATTCATTCAAACATGAAATTTTCAATGAAACAATTTTCATGAAACTATTTTCTTATCTTCAACAATCCATTGACTTTTGGTGGTTTCACATTTAAGCCTTACTCGTTGAAGTTCATTTCTCAGGTAAAATAAAATGTGTATTTGCTAAATAATTCTCACTTAGTAGCCTGTCAATTACTGCAAACACAAAAAACATAAAACCAAACAGTATACATAAATTGCTTTCTGAAAACAAATAACTAACCAAAGCCATTCTAGCAGGCAAACAGTTGAAGAGTAAAAAAAACACACACACACACCTGGCCATCAGTCATATCTTCTTGTTTTGTCTGACCATTTATGTAACCATCTGTTAGTTTTTCTTCAGGTGCTGCTCCACATCTTGGATGCCAGATGGCTCCACCTACAGCATTTCAAGCTGAATTAGTCTAGTATTCATATTAGTTACCAAGCCTAAATAGATTCAACATCAAAATGTACCCTATGACACCAAGTGTTCTTTAACTATTCTACAGAAACCCTTAATAAAATAAACTTTCACAAAAACCACATTCACAAAGTAATCTGTAACTTTCAAAACAAAAACAAACAAAATAAATAAATATACCATTCATAAGCCTCTCACATCATATACATAGTAATTATGAGTGGCAAATCCAATGATAACACAATCACACTCACTTCATCATACTATTTTAAATATGTAAAACACACTTCTTCAAAATATGAGCTATATACTTGCCTAAGAAATGTTCACAAAAATACACTAAAAATTAAAACTGGTACATATTTCAATAATGGTCAAAAACTAAAGTTTTTCATTTTCTGAGTTCAGAAAATCAAGGTTATGAAATACCTTTTCTCTCTTTCTCTCTCTTTCCTTAAAGAAAAACCCATATTGACCATAAACAGATGCAAGACTTCTGCACAGCTTTCTATATATTATTGTAAACAGCTTCTGATACTTCTTAAAGTAATTCAAACTGACAGTATGTTAAACATTAGTGAGAAGAACATGAACACTTACTTTGCATGTACATTTCTTCACCATCGCCAAAGGGATCACCACATTTAGAGCACCGAGCACAACTTGGATGGAAATGATGATTTTCACCAGCCTACAATAAAGAAAGCTAGATATACTGTACTGTATATTATTAGAATGGTCTTATTCCACTTTGTGCAATGGTTTTCCACTGAATTTACTTTTATTAATTTGGAAGATTAAATGAGTAAATGACATGTATTTCCAAAATTTAATTCCATGATTTATAAAATCGAGAAATATAACACTGTTTTTATGTGGCTTTTAAAAAGTGATAAATATTACTTTAACCCTTAAGTATTCCATTAAACTCTGCATGTACTTAAGCTCACTATCCTAGCCAGGTTCAAATCCCTGTCCCACCAAACATGCTCGCCCTTTCAGCCATGGGGACATTATAATGTGATGGTCAATCCCACTATTGGTAAAAAACATTGGTAAAAGAGTAGCCCAAGAGTTGGGGTGGGTGGTAATGACTAGGTGCCTTCACTTTAGTCTTTCACTGCTACATTAGGGATGGCTAGCACAAATAGCCCTCATGTAGCTTTGCATAAAATTCAAAACAAAACAAACCCTATCCTAGCTCAAGCCATTGGAAATAGGAAAGAAAACTTATTTCAAACACTTTGAAGAAACATGTAATTTCTTCATTCCTTTCCAATAGAATCACCAGATTAAATAACTTTATTTGCATACATAATAGATTGAGAGCCATTATTATTTAGCTGTGTCCAATCGAGTAATTACTAGTTAATTATGAGAAGCTATAACATAATAAAACCATTGTTAATTAATTTCTATACATGTGAATACAGATCTGTAAACATTACTTGGGAGGAACCTGTCGTATCATTTTAGTGCTTTGTACATAATTCAAACTATATTTTTATCTTTAGTAAGCCTCAAACCAATACACTTACCTGCAACACCTTTCCCGTGATGTAAAAATCACAGTGGACACATTTAACTCCAAATAATTGTTGGTAATCTTTCTCACAATAAGGAAGGCCATCTCTGCAACCAAACAAATAATCAACACACTAAGTGACAAACATTTTAAATATATACAACAAATAAATGAAAAACTAAGGTCAGCAGTTTGAACATGATTTCTCACACCAAGTTCCATATCAATTTCATCACTGGCAAAACAAACTTGTTATATATGAAGTAGTTTCAGTTTCCAGTCTATGATTAGTCTTAAGTGGGAAAAAAAGATACATAATTCTAATTACATAACATTTGTAGTGACTCATTAAATAAACAAGAACAATAAAAATAACTTGATAATAAAAACACTTTAACAATTTTAAAGTTGTTTATTGTATAGAGTTGTCTAACTTCTAGTCATCTATCTTAACAGGAAATAGCAAGATTATAAAATTAAAGTGTCTGGTTTCTGCAATATATTCTCTAACTCAATCATTTTCACGTATTTAGACAAACAACTCTTCTAGCATCAGGTTATTTTTAAATATACTCAAAAACCCATATGGTGTTGTATAATTACTTATATCTTGCTTATTACTTGTCATACCAACACAATGTTTTTAGACATAATTACATGAAATATTTCACAGATGGTTATATCCTTAGATTGTAATATGTATTAAATAAAATGATTACTTCTGCATATTTTTACAAAACCTGCAAATTTGTTTATTTTTTCATCAACCCTTTACATACTAAGGGAGATGTCACTGATATTCCTCGATTTTTTTCTTTCTCACAGTGGAAAAACTTAACCAAATGATATGAAACTTAGAACAAACTGACGAGTTCTGGTTTAAAAATATTCCTATAATTTGATTTAGATTATTTACGATTTCTTAAGTTGTGAAATTTCTAAGATTTTGTTGTAAGACACTGTTGTGAAAAACATTAGAAATAATTCCTTTCATTTTATGTTACTCAGAAAGTTCAATTTTGTTTAAATTCAATCAATTTTAAACTGATTGATAATCATTACCATATTTATTTCAATACTTTACTTTGTCTGTTGCAGTAATCATCATTTCCAGCTATAAATCATATAACACCATAGAAATTGACAAAGATTTATTGTCTAAAAATGGCAACAGGTCAGACTTAGTAACAATATATTCGCTAACAGTATTCTTGGTCAAAATCAGTTTAAATCGAATAAATACACTTTCTTTTCAATAAATTATAAGTTCTTTTATTTAAATATCTTGTTTGAATACAATAAACTTAATAATAATATTCAATAAAAAAAGGATTTGAGTACATTTGAGTCACCAGAGTATTTTGCTTAATGTACACTATAAAAATAATAGGCTTACCTGATGTCTTATCATAAAAGATAATTTCTGTAGCTTTCAAATAAATATAATTTACCCAAAAAATTTCTGGAATGATAAGAATGTCTAAAGAAATGTATAAAAACTTCCCAGATCTGTTGTTTATTCCTAAGTCTTCTAAACTTCCTACTACATTCTGTTGTTCTTACCTTAACTATGCAAACTAGGTCTTGTAACTTTCCCACAAAACCATATATTATGTCTTTTACCACTTTATTCACTGTAGATTTACATAAATAGTTCATAACATACTCTATCCAATGGTATTTAAACTTTGTATGTAGCTACACTGAGAGTTGAGTTTCATTAGTAGTTTTCAATCACCTGCTGTGAGGTCATGAAAGGGTAGGAACCACGAGGCTGTGCTAATAAAATTCAGAGAAAGTTGGAAAATCATGTGAGAAACAAAACTATATTGTCAAGGGATAATAGTTTCTTAGCAAATATAAACATATGACTTGGGATGGGCTGAAAAATTCTATTAAAAAAAGTCAATAAATGCATTATTTACAGGTTGGAGTCTTTAAAGCTGTGCAGAAATGTAAGTTTGAAATTATTATTCATTTTTCTTTGCAAATCACATTAAATAACCGATGTTCCAAAATGACAAAATATGAATTCTAAATGTTTTGAGTAAACAATGATTGAAATAGAGTTAGAAATATTATATTTACTGAAAGATACTTACTGGCTTGCAAAGGGTTAATTGGAAAATGACCGATTTTATTGAATACCTATTTCTCAGAATATTTACTTATACTTTAAAGTTTAAAGCAAAGATTATGTAGTGTGTCCCATATATGTGCCTGTGGCAGTGAAAGTGCTAAACATACTGTCATCTATTTTTCAAAGCTCTGTTGTAGAATGGAGTCTTCTTGATACTAGAGATTTTTAATTAAGGTGTCAGCACACTTTCATGTTTACTTAAGGAAGGCAAATACAAGTGTAACAAAACATCAAGGTTTTCATTCCAGACCCTCTGTTAAAGCTAAACAAGCTATTGTTGAAGCTTCTTGAATACTGTAGAAATCTTAAAATATATAAAAAATCCACAGTGTACAAGCTCTCCTTTAACTAGTTATTTATGACTGGGTAAAAGTGTGTATGTCATGACTTTTTGCAGCATTACATTCAAAATTTAACTAATCAGCTTTATTATTAATGTATGACAATAAATTACTTAATACAAAATCATAGTTTATAATTCAAATTTTTATTTTATCTAAGTCTTAACTAATTAATTTCAAAACGAAATTTCTTAAAAATCTCAAACTTCATTTTCCCGTGTCACATGATGTATATGAGCTCCAATTTCTCCACTTTAGAATTTTCCAACTTCTAACATAAGCTGCTGAAGTTTACAACCAATTATAACCACAAACTATACATAATTACAAACAAGAATGTAAAATTTGAACTTTCTACCTTCTTTATTTGCCAAAAAATTAATAAGTTTGTCAAATCCACCAGAAAAGTCCCTCCCCTCTCTGGCTTATGAGATTCTTTGCTAATCAGCTTTACACAGCTGGTGGATATGTTTATCAGCATTAGAAAGAGTAGAAGCTCCTCTATATAAAGTTTATAATTCTGAATTAAGTTTTCCCACCATTATCCTTCATTGACAAGAATTATTTGCTTTGCATTGATCAGATTTGATGCTCTGAATAATAAGTGTTTTTTTAAGCTAGGAACTGGTATGAGGTAAGGACTCCCATACCCCACTAGAAGAAAGGGGGGGAAATGCATTGGACTGCCACCAAAAACAGTGCAAAGGGTGACTAGGATACAGAGCTACTGAACTGACGGTGTCGATCAACCAAAACCTGGCAGCATCTGGAATTGTACAACAGGTCCAGGAAGGAAGAGTCTCAATGCCACAGAGCATCAGAGATGGCCAGCAATAACTGTCTGCTGTACTAATGTTAGTCCATGAGTATGAGGTCTGGGACAAACATATTTATGAAGCAAAAATCACTAGAGAGAATCACTAGCAGTCCTACTGAATACCCCATCTCTACGGTATGCATAATCTAAACCTGCAACGTAATTATTTAGTCATAGATAACAATAAAATAAAGAAACACAACCAACATCTGATGACATCCGGAATTGTACATCAGTTTCATGGTAGGAAGGGCTATAACGTAATTGATTTTTGAGCATGGTTACAGGATGGACAGTGCAGATTTTGAAAAAAAAAGTATACCTGGTCAGGCACCAATTGTCACAGAGAGGGATCCACAATACACTAACAAAAGGCCCCTTAGAAAAGTATGAAAAGTTAAAAAAAAAAAAGAAGCTGCCTTTAACAATATCAAAATGTGAAATTTTACATAAATAAAGAAAAACTAAGTCTGTAGTATAACGAAAGATGTCAACAAATCCACAAGTAAAAACCAGCACATCTATTCAGTATTACTGATAATCGAGAAGTGAGTAACGAGTGCAGATGTGAAGCTGGCACTGGTTACTATGGGAGTGGTGTCACTCTTCTATTGGTGGAAGGAGGAAGGCTAGTGGCATGCATTGAAAAGATATTGTATCGGAAATATCTGTTTATGATTTCACTATAAAAATCTGTTCATATAGATATAACTGGTCAGTTTCTTCACTTACTTGCCCATATATTCACCATGTAAAACTGCATTACATGTGGTACACTTAAAGCACCAAATGTGCCATGGTTTCTGCATGGCTACAAGCGCCTGTCCCTCCTTGAGCTCCTGTCCACATCCTGCACATTCTGTAAGAGAAGCAATTAAGGTAGGCTTAGTCGCTTCTTATCTAAAGACTATAGTAAAACACTAATCTGTCACACGATCAAGAGTGTACCAACTACATAAGTGATACATCTGGAATTCTTATACAAGATCACCTAATGACAGAAGCAGTTAAGAAGTTTACTGATAACATCAAGTACTTTATGTGATTTACTAAATTAATTAGAAATGTTGTGAGAGCTTTGCTACTTCAATATATATCTTATGAAACTTAATCTGACCAACTTTATAACCTACTCTATAAGAATGGAAGTCTGACACAATACAAGTCTCAAAGATACCACTTAAATTTAAAATAAGAAAAGAAAATATTACCCTAGTTGGGTATATTTTAAACAAAAAGTAGCTGGAAATATGAGAAACCTATGGCATATTTTTGTTTTTCTCAGGCTTAAACATAAATTTCAGAGAACTTTAAATTATTTGTGTTTATTCTATTTCTGGTTCATAAAATCATAATTATATAAAATATTTATTTACAAATTTTATCACCTTCCAAATAACTAATAGAAATTTTAAATAAGCATGACACAACTAAAGAGAACATAGAATCAAATTCTTCCAAAAAAGCAGTCAGAGAATAAAGAAAAAAAATGTAAACTTACAAAGGTAAAGGGCTCTTAAACTTTAATATAGTTTTACACAAAGTCACTATAAGGGATGACTATAACAAATACTTTGTACAAACCACAGTAAGGCTAGATAATGTTTGGAAGAAAGGTGATTGTGGAAGATAATTTCATGCATGTTTGCCAGGTAACAACATCCTAGAATTCTAAGACTGCACTTACTCTGACCACTTTCAACTGATGTTTCTTTATTTTTTTCCTGTTTATCTAGAATATCTTCCTCTTGGGCCTGTATCATCACCTCAGGAATCTGTACACACTTAGAACAAAGGTATTCATTTACTCTAAAGTTCACCTTTTCACCTGTCGGAAATGGTTTTCTGTGGAAAACAGAGAGAGAGAGAAGAATACTCAAAATGTAACTGATTTAATGGTTTCCAAGTATTTAACAAAATTTTAAATATACTACTCTTTTAAGAACTAGTATGAGCAAAACTATTTTTAATGTAACCTATACTTTCTGTTATTGAGAATTAAAGGAGAGTTCTGTATTTCTCAGAAATGTTTATTTTGCAGCCTTGTTTTATCTTACTATAATAGGAATTTAACCAGTAATCACTACTACTTTTAACCAATTATTTATAAAAATATTTTTACAGGAACATTATTTTTGAATTCATACTGTTATTTTAAATGAATGGAAAAACTAATATTATTTTTTTGTATTTTACCCTTTTCCATCCTTTAGAAGAAAAAATAGAAATCTTCTAAAATTAGTTCAACAGTCAATTGTTTGGTTATATAAGCTCCACCATAACTTCAATTATTTAAAACATTAAAAAAATGTTTACAAACATATTTTTGGTGTAAATTTAAATTTCTACTTTAAATTAAAAAATAAAAAAACTTTTGAGAGTTTTTGAAAAACATGAAAATCATAAGCCCATCTTCTTTCCAAAAGTGACTTCAAAATGAGAAAGCTACACTTTCTACACCCAAGGATAAGATCTAGGTCTGAAGATACAGTACAAAAGTTTTACATATATCTGTATCCATTAGCGGATTCTGGGAATGGGGGGTGGGGCATTTTCATAATTTTGGACCATTATACTATAAAGTCCACTCCTTTTAACAATAAATAATTTCAATAAAAGATTTGATCTTCTGACTTTCCTAGTTTCAGGCCAATAATTTATAACATTATATTTAAGTTTAATGTACTGTCTGGCTACATCACACAAATGATGTATGCAAAATCCTAGATCAGCTACTGTCTGTATCCTTACAAATGGCTGTAAAGCGTTAAACATGGTTAACAATATAAACCTGGATCTTCAATGAAAGAGACACTGAAAACACCATGCACTGAAATGCTTAGAAATGTCAAAATAATTTTAAACAAATATTTAGAATTTATGTTAAAATGTTGCTAAATTTTATAAATCTGACTTGAGCCTAATAAACTCGCATCATAATGAAAGTATTAGTTAAAGTTATTTTAGAGAAATAATTTAGGCAAATAAGCAATTGCACCAATTCATAGTCAAGTGCCTTCAGTCTCAACTTTTTTTTTTTTTTAGTCAAAAGTCACTGACCCAACAGGTAATGAGCATTATATATCATTTCAGGCAGCTCTTATTACTGTTAGGACAGTGGAAGTCATGTGACACTGGTAACACGTCATGAAATTGTCGAAGGATCTTGACTTCTCCTGGCAACTCTAGTCTTTTCTAGATGCCCTCTTTTTTTGTATATAAGCCCAGCAAATAATTGCAGATAGACAGGTATAAAGACAGATAATTGAGTCAAGCGAGTGACCGCAAGTGCGTGAATAGTTGTAATTATAGCATGTGTTTAAGTGAATATGACTATGGAAATTCTGTGTATTGCAAAGTTGTATTGAGAAAGAATAAATTAGTTTTATTTAAGAAAGGACTTGTATCGCTGAAGTTTCTTGGGAAGAATTTATACCAGGAAATTAACAAACGACCAGAGACGTAACATTACAAACTTTAAAGCTTAATAAAACCCATAAGCTTTTGATACTACTGATTTGAATATTCAATTCATACAAGGTTTTGCTGATGTCAAAATAAGGGTCAACAGAAACTGTACAAGCAAGTCTTTACTTCTAATATATATTATAGTGTATATGTTTTTGAAAATTAGTTCATATTTTCAAATAATCAAAGAAAACATTAATCCACAAACCTAGAAATTCCAAAAAAATGGTTATCATCATTTTTTTTACTGACTTACCTGCATCTACCACAAACAAAGCAGTTCCTATGATAAGTGTTCCCTAGTGCTGAAACTATCTCTCCTTCCACATAGTCTCCACAAGCTGCACATTCAGTTCCAAAGGACTTCTGGTAGTCTTTGGTGCAGTAATAGCTGCCATCTTTCATAAAAAATCCACCTGATGCCAATGATGTGGAACACACTTCCATGAAGGGATGAAAAAATTAAAGGATTTTGAAAGACTTAAAGCTTTGATCACTGCCAAAATAATGATTTTGTGCAAATATTTATATATTTTAATTATATTAAATTATATTAAATATTCCTTCTACTGAATAATTTTTACATATTAATATCATTTTTAAATGTTATAAAAATGTGTTTAGAAAACAAAACATGCATCTTATACTAGTTCAAAATTCAAGCATTATATAAAACTGCATTTTCTCATATCAATCCTTTCAGATTATCACTATGGATAATATGAACATAAATTTATGGGCATGTTTATCACATTATTTATACTTCCTAGGCTCATCAATGTCACTCGCTCTTTTTTTTGTAAATTCTAACTATGGTCATCCCTACTTTACTTTTTACAGTGACTGCATGCATCTTAACATTTCCACATTTACCTTGCTACATTAAAGGAACACTTAACTCATCTTTGATCATCTATCACTCACCTCTTTCTCTAGTGTCTCTTTCTCAACAGATGTAATAAACCCAAAATGATCACAAAAAAGTACATGTTTACAGAAACTACTTTTATCTTTAACAGTGTATTTACTAAATATAATTGACATTACAATTATATATAGATATATAATTTCACTCTATATAATTATGGTTAACTTTCAAAAAGTCCTCAACTAATTTTAATGAAAGGATTAACATTCAATTTATGCATTATAATGAAAACTTACTGTTCTTTATTTACATAGTTGATGCTAATAATACAAGCATAAAGAACTGTTGATCTTGGAACATACTTACCAAAATAAACACTCTGTTAAAAGTAAATAATTAACCAACTACTGCCTAACAAACACATAATGGAGTGATTGCTTTTTCTTACTAGTTATTCATACACATTCATAAAAGTGAGTATATTGTTGCGTCAGCGAGGTCACGTGACTATTGTCACGCCACGTTTCTAGAAGTATCTTGTTCCTTCATGAATGCCCTAGCATTTACTAGATATAGGGTAGTCTGGTATATATAAGATGGTCACGGCGTGACGTGACAATAATGTGTGTAGGTAATGAGTAATTGATCTGCAGTCAGAAAGTATTGTTGAAGTTAACGTTCGTTGATATAGCGTTTGTTAGAGCGACTGTTGAAAATAAGTGTATCGGTAAACTTATATTCAGAAAGAATAAATCAGTTTTATTAAGAAAGGACTTGTGTCGCTAAAGTTTCGTGGGAACGAAGTTACGGAAAATCAATTAACAAACGGAGACGTAACAATATGTTAGTATCAATATCAACAAAAAACTTCTTTGTGTTCACAAACTTAGCAAATTGTTGTGTGTTTACTGTGTATCTCCCCAAAAAAGGCCACCATAAAATTATGTACAATCTATAATTCATGTATATACATTAGATATTTATTACACAGTCATTATTAGAATGCAGTTTGATACATCATGCCAGTAAAAGCTATATCAACATTAATTAAAATATAAAGGTTAAAATGCTCAAGCATATCAAATATTGGGATATAACAAACCAACCAAACACCACAGGAACCAACAACTCCAATACTTTAGGTAACTACCAACTTGGTCCACGAATTACAGTACAGCTGGGTGATTAATATAATTTGCTAATAAATTAATCATAAATTCATAAAATTTTAAAGGGACAAAAAGGAGCTTATTAGCTCATCAAGGATGACTCTTCCAGCTCCCAACTATAACCAACCCTTATTACTCATGTATTCATTCAATCTTTTCTTGAACTCAGTTAAGTTTTCTGTCTCCACCACCCTTGAAGGCAGCTCATTCCAAAAGCCAACCACCCTATTTGAAAAGTATTATTATGTAAACTGCAAAATTTGAATTTATGACCCCTTGTCCTATTGTTTTCACTACTAAACACAAGAAGATTTGATGGATCTATATTATCAATACCCTTAAGAATCTTAAACACCTCAATCAAATCCTCTCTGACCCTTCTCTCCAGAGAAAACAAGTTTAGAGATTTTAGTCTCTCCTCAAAGGACAATCCCACCATCCCAGGTATCATCCTAGTGGCTCTTCTCTGAACCTTCTCCAACAATTCAATGTCTTTCTTGAGGAAGGGAGCCCAAAACTGTACACAGCAGTACTCTAAATGAGGCCTTACAAGTGATCTATACAGTGAAACAATACTATCCCTTGTCTTGTATTCAATATTTCTATAGATGCTACCCAAAATCCTATTAGCCCTATTGCTAGATACAGTACGCTGTTTAGATGACTTAAATCTTTTTCGATCACAACACCAAGATCATTTTCTTCAACCACAGTATTAAATGTATTCCCATTTAAATTGTAACAATAATTTGAATTGTGAAAACCTACATGCATCACCTTACATTGTGGATAGTTAAGCATCACTTGCCACGTATTAGCCCAATGCATCAAATGATCTAAATCTCCCTGTAAGTCTGCAGCATCTTTGATAAGTTAGCCACCCCAAAAATCTTAATGTCATCTGCAAACTTCAAAATTTTGTTGGTCATTACAGAGTCAATATCATTAATATAAATCACAAACAGCAGAGGACCCAGCACAGAGCCCTGAGGCTCATTAATTGATTACAATCAACTAATTTATTACTCTCACATGAGACATGGATAGTTGAAACAATCAAAAATGGAAACAGTTAGAAACATCAATTTCAATTAGTTGATTGTTTTTGTGAGTCATGACACTAACCAGCTGAGCTGAACAGCTTTGAATTAGTCAAAAATAATAACAACAAATCATATTTCAATTATTTGGATAGTTGGAACAATGAAAAACAATAATAATCAGAAACATAATATTTTTGTATTACTTTTGTGATATTAATTGACTTAATCATAATTTCAATAAATTGTTTATTTTATGTTAATCACTCAGCTCTAAATAACAGTAACATAGTTAACCACAAAGCTTTCAGACCTACCCAACACCAAAGATACTAACAAACCACAAAACCCTCAGGTATCTACCAACTTGTTTTATGAATTAGCAGTAATAGTAAATCACAAAATATTCATAGCTACCAACATGTGTTACACATCATAAGCATTAGTAGCCTGCAAATCCTTCAAGACTACGAATGTGTTAAAAAATTAACGAACTAGAAACTTAAAGATGCACATAGGGCAGTTGTAATTCTATGTAATACTAGAAGTGAATTAAACCTCAAATACTTGGGCATGCTATACGAAAGCATCAAACTGAAGATTCACAAAATGGACTTTACACTTAATGTAATGTCAAACACAACCTTAAAACAATATCTTATTACATAAGTTTATAAAATCTAGATATAATTTCATCTCAACAAAACAATCGTAAAAATGTACATGTAATAGTATTATAATACATAAACATGAAAATAAACCTTGTGTTCACTAATTATTAGACATGTATTAAAAACTATTGTTTATCTACTAAACAAGCTAGGTGAGACCGAGCTTGATGCTACGGATGTACTTCATCTATTTGACATTTTAATTTGTTCATCACATAAAAAGTTAGCATATAATTTCAAACTTTACCATACGTTATATTTATTCTAAATAATTACAGTTCTTTGCTCAGCTTAAAATAACATTCAGTTATTATTTATAATGTTTAAACTTGTTCAAGCAATTTCCAGTATATACATATTACAACTAATAAGTCCAATGAAAATAGTTACTAGTGCAATATATCTGCATTGTTTATTAATCATTAGTACATCCATCTACAAAAACGATAATCAGCAGCTGGACATTTTCCTATGTCAACTATAAAAATATTTATCTATATTTGAACAATTCATTAGTAAGTCATTTAATAGTACCTGGACATTCAAATAGCACATTTGTGTCAAAATTTTACCTGTACATTTGAAACAATCTTCATGAAAATATTTGTTCTGAATACGAAATGCATTTCCAGTACATTTTTTCTTACAAGACTCGCAACTGATTTTACCTACAAAACAGAAAGAAAATAAATCAAACACTGTATCTATTTGCAGTCATATGATTAGATTTGAGTATATGATTATAGTTAGATATGAAATCCGTTGCTATTACAGGATTCTTTTGTACAGGTCTATATTATCTTTACAGCACATAGTGAAATTAACTCAAACTGATTAATAATAACATTGATGTTTCTATTAACAATCTTTTTTTTTTCAGGAAGTTTTATTCATATTAAGAGACGTTACGAAAATTACTGCTTGCAATGATATTGACAGCATAAAAAGCATTTGAGAAACAACCAAGAGTTGTTGAACCAACTAAGAATGCTGAAAATCAATTCATATAGATCTTTCATCTGACAATGGCTTAGGCTCAAGGTTAATTAGGAGACTGAGTTTAAAACAAATAAATTATGAATTAACAGAAGGACTTTGTCAGATAAAGACTTTGTCTTATGCGTCTCCACATAAAGTGATGAAGGATGTATTAATGTTTTATAGAAAACATGAAAGAACTAAAAGTAATACTGCAACTATATTCTGTATTGTTTTCTCTCTACAGTATATATTTCATGTAATAAGAAAAACACACAAAGCATTCATTTCAAATTATAAACAAGTTATACCACCGAACGTTTTTACAAACTATGGCAAAACACTTATTTCCTGACCAATAAAATGGCAGTTCGATAATCAGGTGATTTACAAAACCGTAAGACTAAAGGTTTTACTATACACGCATACTTTTTGTTTGTTTGTTTTGTTGTTAAGCGCGAAGCAACACAATGGACTATTTGTGCCATGTCAATATGCATACTTAAAGTTAAAACTTAAAATATGGGATAAAGACGTTAACATTTCAGGCTAAGCGTTAAATGTGAATTATATGCAAATATGCTTAAATAATATAAAAAAACAGTAACAAATTGTGTACTTCGTGATAACTTTTTCGGCTACAACTTTGCTCATGCAACACACCTAAATACATTGTTACGTCTCTGTTTGTTAATTGATTTTCCCTAAATTCGTTCCGACAAAACTTTAGCGACACAAGTCCTTTCTTAAATAAAACTGGTTTATTCTTTCCGAATACAACTTTACGATACACTCAACTTCAACAGTCGCGCTATAACAAACTATAATTCACGCCTCACGATCTCGACTTCAACAATACGTCTCTCTCTGACTACAGTTCAATTACTCATTACCTTCACACATTGTCCCGTCACGTTGTGACCATCTTATATAT